GCTGCCTCTTGTCACCTTTCTGTCACTGCTCCCCTCTTTCTGTCACTCTCCCTCACACCAGCTTTCATCGTAACTCTCTCCCTGTTCTCTCTCCTAATGAGCCCAAACCCAGCTTCCTACGAGGCTGCTGCTGGTGCTGGTTCACAGGCAACTCCACTGGCTGAGTTTGCGCAGGATGCCGTTTGTTTAAGGCCCTTCCCACCCACCCTGCCCAATGTTTCACACACCAAACACCTCCTTTTGGTTTCTTCTACTTTGTCCATCTCTGATCTCACCTTCTTACCTCTCTCTAAGCCTCCTTTTCTCTGTTCCCACGTCATTCTCCTTCTCTTTTGTCACAGTTAAATCAGCACACAGAAAATACAGGACTCTTTCTCCTGCAAAGTTTGTAAGGCTTTTTTTTAAAAAGCAAAACTGTTTGCAATTTGCGTATTGTTATTGTGAATACATTACTGCTGAGGCTCCATAGCAATAGTGATTTTGGCAGTATCTTCCTTCAGCAGAAGGCTTATTTGCCTCTGTATTGCCTCGTTTATAAACTCTCTTTGTATGTCTCTCTGTATCTTTTCCTGCTCATTATATTGTGCAGTTTACTTTCAGTCAAACTTTTGGACCAGAAAGACGTAATTGAAAATAAAAGGTGTATTAAAAAAATGAGAAAAAATTCCTTTCATTCGATTAAAGGAAAAAGGATTTTATGAGAAAACTTCAAGTTCTGTTGGCGTAATATTTCAGTAATGCTAATTTCTTTCCTAAACAACCTTTTAGTGGCGTGACCTTTCTTGAAGACAGCATAGTTGTTTGTGATTTAATTGTTTGGGCTCTGTGATGTTGTCTTCCACAAATAATGCTTTTCTGTATTTTCTTCTCCTAGGGTGTTATGGTTGGTATGGGTCAAAAAGATTCCTATGTGGGTGATGAAGCTCAGAGCAAAAGAGGTATCCTCACTTTGAAATATCCCATTGAACATGGCATCATCACCAACTGGGATGATATGGAAAAGATCTGGCACCACACTTTCTACAATGAACTCCGTGTGGCCCCTGAGGAACACCCTACCTTGCTCACAGAAGCCCCCTTGAACCCTAAAGCTAATCGTGAAAAGATGACCCAGATAATGTTTGAGACCTTCAACGTACCTGCTATGTATGTGGCGATCCAGGCTGTCCTGTCCCTGTATGCCTCTGGTCGTACAACAGGTAAAACAAAAAAGTAAACAATATTTATCAGGAACTCTCCTTTCTTCTCGCTCCAAATCGCAAAAAAACCCCATAACTCATTCAAAATGACAGAAAACTAGGTATTTAGATTTTACAGCAATTGATGATAGTGGTAGCAGAAAAGCAAGTACAAAATGGTCTGTGGAAAGGACAGTGTGGACCTGTCTGCATTGCTTTCAGAGGGGCACTGTGGAACTGACGCAAAGGAGGAGACATTCCTGGGAAGATACTGCAGTTACACAAGTATTACACCGGTTTAAGGGTTTAAACCCTTAAAGATGCCCATTATTGGATCAGGACAATCACTATTGCACATATACTTAACTGCTCAGTGCAGTAGCAGTGGAAGGCTGTTCATATGCATTAGCTTAAAATATGTACAAGACAACTGTTTTTTGGGGAAGTTCACATGAAACAGGAACATCCAGGCAAGCAAAGACAGAAGGAATGGGCAAGCCCTTGATGGCTAAAATAGAATGATGCTACTTTATGCTGCCTGAAAATTCCTGTATTTTGTTGTGTTTGTTGCTGCTTACTTTACTGTGCCTACGGGCTCCAAGCGTTTGCTAGGTGATTCCAACTGCTCTGTGACATTTCTCTCCCAGGTATTGTTCTTGACTCTGGTGATGGTGTCACCCACAACGTACCTATTTATGAGGGTTATGCTTTGCCTCATGCTATCATGCGTCTGGATCTGGCTGGCAGGGATCTGACTGACTACCTCATGAAGATCCTCACGGAGCGTGGCTACTCCTTTGTGACAACAGGTCAGTCCTTCAGCTTTGCCCTCCTGTGAAAATCCTCATGTCTCTCTTCGCCCATCTGCTTCCTCTAGTATTTTGCTTATCCAAACCTTGATTTGACTCCCATTTATCTGCAGCTGAACGTGAGATTGTTCGTGACATCAAAGAGAAATTGTGCTATGTTGCATTGGACTTTGAAAATGAAATGGCCACTGCTGCTTCTTCCTCCTCTCTGGAAAAGAGCTATGAATTGCCTGATGGTCAGGTGATTACCATTGGTAACGAACGTTTCCGCTGCCCTGAAACCTTATTCCAACCATCCTTTATTGGTAAGTGTTCCCAGGAAATTCTCCTTTCTGTAGGAGGTATGAATGAATCAGAAGATCTAATCTAATCACTCCTCTTCCTGCTTATCTAAATTTGGCATGAAATAAAACGTAAATAATGAGTTAGATCGTCTGATCCCTGCAAGCTGTGCTTAATGTGAGCTCAGCTGGTAATTAGCTCAGCTCTAGGGTCTTTTGCAAGTTTTAGGATCACAATTTTTTTGTGATAAATGTAGTTAGAATATCATCATGTCATGATGCAAAGAATACCTTCCAGTGCTGTGCTTGTAAAGCTCACACTCTTAGAACAATATCTGACTGCAAGAACTAAAGTGTCTGGAAGGAGAAAAAAAAATGGAGTGATGGTGTGTGTATATTTATATGCATTGTAACTGAACATTGCCATGGTCAGGAGGGTAAGCTTTGCTGTTTGTGAGTGCAGCTGACAGATACAGCAAATGCTTATACTCTAAGTCTAGAGCAATAAATGCAGTTGTTCATCAGCTGACATCTTACTGTGGATCTAATGTCAGACATTTCAGGAAGCACCTGTTAAAATTATTAAATTGGAATGCAACCTACAAACACTTGCTTCTGGTTTCTTTTTCCTTCCCACCAAGTACTAATATCTTGGTCCTTATCTTGGTTATGTCTTGATGTTTATAAATGGTGTAGACTCTCATTTTGAGTAGGCTGAAAAAGAAATGAAGTTACTATTGTCTTCTTTACTTCTACTTCAGCTGCTTTCATTGTCTTTATTGCTGTCTTTTCTATATCCAACTAATGTTTTTTGTGAAAATGTCACATAACCTGATACTTATTTTTTCTAGTTGATGTAACTTTCTCCCATTGCCATATACTAAATGAGTTTCTTGTGTGTCTAACTCTTCTCTTACTGTATATTTTGAGTTATCTTTCCTTTGCACATACATTATGATTCTTACCCTTTCTAACAAATAATTTTCATTTTCTTATCTAGTTCTGTAATTCTATTTTTTAATGTTTTTCTATAACATTTAATAATCAGTAAGTAATTTTACTACAAAAATATCATAGCAGCTCATATTAATGATGAGAAGAAATGCCGAGGGTTCTCTTCATTAAGATCTCTTTGTATAATTTGCTGACCTACTGTCTTCTTTCTTCTCAAGGTATGGAATCTGCTGGTATTCATGAAACTACCTACAACAGTATCATGAAGTGTGATATTGATATCCGTAAGGACCTGTATGCTAACAACGTCCTCTCAGGTGGAACAACAATGTACCCTGGCATTGCTGATCGCATGCAGAAGGAAATCACTGCACTTGCTCCTAGCACTATGAAGATCAAGGTGAGGAATTTGACTCTGTACTATAAAATGTGGGTAAGGATAGGGAAAATGCCCACATCATTACATTGGGATATGGGATCAACTCAAAAGTGAGATCAACAGCTGATGGACAAACGAGAAGAAATTAATTTTAATCAGCATAATTATACTGATTAGAAACAAGTGTTAGAAGAAAGAAAAGTATGCTTGTAGATTTTCTTAAGGAATATTATATGTATTGTAGCAGCTGATATTATAAAAAAGTTCTTTATGTACTTAGGGAAATATCACGTGGTTTGTTACTTCGATGATGTGGGTTTGTTTTTCAGAAATGTAATTGTTAAATGAGGATTTTGTTGCTTTTCTTTGTCCTAGATCATTGCCCCACCTGAGCGCAAGTACTCTGTCTGGATTGGTGGCTCCATTCTAGCATCTCTGTCCACCTTCCAGCAAATGTGGATCAGTAAACAGGAGTATGATGAAGCTGGTCCATCCATTGTCCACCGCAAGTGCTTCTAAGCACTTTTCCCCTCAATTTACTTCCCACTCAGGATGACGACAATATGCTTCTTGGAGTCTTCTGGCAACCCTTCCTGAACTCTTCAGTCATTGTACAGTTTGTTTACACACCCGTGCAATTTATTTGTGCTTCTAATATTTATTGCTTTATAAATAAACGAGATCTGGGACTTGCAACCTACAAATAATTGTCTTTTGTTTTATTGTAAGTACTCTCTGGTTAAAAAAAAAGAGACTAAACACCCTGGGATTTGGAAACTCCCATCAAACCTATAAATGACTTCACTGCATGCATGTCCTTCTAAGTGAGGTAGGCGTGTTAGTTCATAGTTTTCCATTAGTAAGAATTTATACTTTATAGTTCTAATTTTGAAACTTGAAACAAAAAGCATCATCTATCAAGGCTTACAAAGAAGTAGTTTTGAGGGTAGACCCAGTAAATGTAACAAGCAGAAGGAAACCTCTCATATTCACTCACTGGGTTTAGAATAGTTTCTTCTGTTGCATTAATTGTAATCCAAGTATTTTAATATTAATTTATTGAAAGTCAAAGCTTCTGCAAAAGAATTATGTTAATGCATTTAGAATGTGATTTATAACTAATTAGCTCAGTCCTAAAGAGTCATACAATTGTTTTCTGTGGGCTATAAATATTTATGACAAACTATTAATTCAAACTGACAGTTTAGTCATCTTCCCCCATCTCTTCAAAGCCAGAGACAAAGAAGTGAAGCCTTTACTGTACTAATCCACAAAAATAAAACTTTAGCTGTATAAACATACAATTGTTATAATCACAATTATTTTCACACCATCATACATATATCTTAGGCAATTTTTAATCCTTAATCTTTGCTATTATTTGTTGTTAATTGACCCAGATACTTCAATCATAAATTGCCTGCTTCCCATAGGCATTTATGTGCCATGACTTCTTCATTTTTTTTTAAAAAGTAGTATTTAAAAGTGAAGTACAGAATGACCTGGGACATTTTTATTAAAATAGAGGAACCAGTCGGTGTCACAGTTTGAACTATGTACAGACTGGAGTTCACCTAAACTTGTTCTAGGAAATCAATTAAAGCATTTATCAAGCTCTGCATGTGGTCAGTTAGGCATGTGCTTAGCTGAGAGCCATTACAGGTGTTGGAAAAGGTTAGATTTCATGTTGATTTTAAACTCAAATTCTAATTAAATAAACCCTCAAAACCCGAACAACCAGATGATAATAATAGGCAGCTTACACTGCTGCAGGGAAACATATTCCTGTTTCTCCCAACTCTTATTTTCTAGAAAGGCATTAAAACTGGCTGTTAGATGTGATCTGCGGTTAAGCAGAACTGATTTTACTCTTAGAATATATGAAGATGTATTCAATTTTGATTAGATGGCATTTTACTAAGGTTCCATTGTAATTGCCTACCATTGGCTTGCAATTTAAATAGTCAAATATTTCTCGAAATTTTTGCTTTTAGACAAAGTGGATGGAGTTGTTAAATATAAATAAAATGTAAACATAAACATGAAGTTTTAAGCCATTTTTTACAAATTTAAACATAAATTTAAGCCTTTTAAACAAACATAACAATGAAATTTTAACATAAATATGAGGTGCTTATCCTCACACTGTGCGCAGTATTACTGAAATGCTGCTACATGTAGGTCTTTTCACAATAAGAATTAAGCTGTGAATCTCTTAAGCCAATGTCAACATCTTCTACTGTTCTTAAGAATGTTTCCAGAGTAGGGAATCACTCTGAAGTTATCATAGAGAAATTTTCTATATTTTGAAAACATGGGAACTTCTCCAGATTTCTGACCAACACAAATTTAATTATTCAAACTTAAATGATGTGTTGTTGTTCAGAACCATTGTACTTTTCTTACTTGTTCTTGCTTGCTAATTTGAAAGGTTAGGCTGGTCAGAAAGGTCACCTCAGGTATTTGTGTGAATTAATAGGGTGATAGTGGACATAAATTGCAACTAATTGGAGCTTAAAATGTTAAGCAAGTATGCAAAGGGCACGCTAAGTCAAGCCCAGCGGATGCCTGACTGACTGGCTCTGAGGGCTGGATCAGGAATGGCAGGCATACAGCTGGCACGGCTGCGATCAGGAGTTCACCCTTCAGCGTGTGGGCATGAGGAGGGATCTGAAAAAAGCCACTGATTGCGTGACAGATGGAAAAATTCCTTCCATAGACATTTTGGTAATTATGGAAATGGATATTGTAATTCACAGTTTATGGAAATGGATATGAGCAGCAAGGATCCTGCAAAAGAGTGATATGCTTGTGTATACGTAGGATATGACTAAAAAGTAGCACTGCCTTACCCTTTTCCTCCTCTTGTAGCATGTTTCCAGATGTAATCTGTTTTAATGCAATAATCCCATATTTTGCCATTGAAAAGTATGTATTCACACTCAGTGCAGTGAAAACTTTAATAATTCAATGGGATGGGAATTATAACTATGGAAGCAAAACTAGATATTTAAATATGGATAATCCAATTTAGCAATTCCATTGAGAGGAATTTATGTGTTAAATCACATAAGCTAAGATTCAAAACACTGGTAAGAGATGCCACTGTTAAAATTTACCCTATGTTTATATTTTATAACAAGCCTTAATTACGGTGCTATACATTTTATATGGCAAATGAAGGTGGTGGAATGGGATGGAAGAATTAACTGGAAACCACCTATACGATAACCAGTAAAACTATTGCAGATACTTCCTTAAAAAAGGCAAATTAAAAACTAGTTGTACCCAAACTGTTCTGTACCCAAACTAGCTGTACCCGAACATCAGTCTTCACCTCTGAAACAACTCAGCTAATGAAGACATTGACATAAATTTTGAGATGAAAGGGTCTCAGTTAACCCTCGTTGCTCTTGATGAGGTTATCCTTGGATGGAAGAAGAAAACTTAATGACTATCTAAATTCATAGATTCAACAGGTGTATTTTGAAAACCGGTGTGGATACATGGCAAAACATCTGTCTGCCACACCAAAGTGTATCCTGTTACCTGATTTTGCAGCTCCTTGTTGCTCTATATGTAAAATGGTGTGAAACTCATGCTGTGGAAGTCAGTCTGATGTTATTTTTAAGCTACACAAAGATCCTTCATTCAGCAATAAGGGCTAAAAATCCATTAAGAAATACTAACACACATCAGTAAGAGCTGGGACAATATGGCCTGTTCTGGCAGCCAGAACAACACAGCCCAGTACTTCTGCTTTTGACTGAAGGATATTGAGTTGTTACCATTGTTGCCTGACCCACAGATCTTACAGAAAACTCTTCTTGTAGATTGAGGAGGATGTTGACTCTTAAGGGGTATTGAAGAATAGGACTGTGATCAGAACAGAAAGCTTGTAACATCTATGTGCTAAGAATCTGAAAACCCAGTGATTCTACTTTAAAAGATGGGGGGGGGTTGACAGAAAGATGGGGTTTTTTGACAGGAAATAAGGAGATTTTTCAGAAGGCACTTGTTGGTGCTTCAAGGCTCCTTAAAAAAAAATTGTTAAGATAGTCATTATGAATTTGATAGAGTTGCCTACTTTGCACTAATCTTCTCTAAAAAGGCTGGTTTAGCTAAAGCTTTTAAAAAGTCAACCTGAGGCAAAACACTAATATGAAAATTTTTAGGTTGAATAATTGAGTTCTATAGAGTGATAATATTTTTAATGTAGAATAAGAGAGTTTTATACTCAAGAACATTAGGTGACTCTAAATATATGTGACAGTCAGATTAATCTACAATAACAACACAACAATAGAAAAAAATAGAGAAAAACCTCTTCTCTGCTGGTTGGATAACCTGAATACTGGGCTCAGGCAGAGACTGATGCTTTCTTTCAGTAACAGCTGAAAACAGTCTCACCCTGGAGCATCCTGTGAAAGAAGCCTCTGTCATTATCAAGACACAAGAAAAAGGAAAAAAATAATTTATAAAATTGAGTGATTAGTAAATCTCACTCATTACACTCCAGAAAGAAGTAACTCAGTTAATATACTACCAATTACCTTTGCTTTTTCTCCTGAGGATGACTATGATTGCTGAAACTTGAAAACTCAGCATATAGAAATGTTAATTATTGGACAAATTAATAAAATTTGCTGATATATATTTAAAGGATGTATTTAATTGTGATTAAGCTGTCCTGTGTGAATAATGTTGGATGAATAGAGTTTAGCAGACCTTAGCAAAAGTTTACATACCTGGTGGTAATCTTATTTTTCATCAGAAACAAATAATTAACAAAATACAGTATATCTGAGGTCTAACAAATATAGGGAACTATGCTCTCTTAGAGGAGATGAACTGTATTTTAGAAAGGTTTTTTAACCATTTTCTGTCAGGTGATATATATATATATGTGTGTGTGTATATATATATATATATATATATAGGCAGGGGAAAAGGCAGATGTGGAATAGCATAAAGTTTTATTGACATAGATTTATGTAACAGTAAATGATATAGTAAGTCTGCAAAGGTGCACAATAAAATCCAGGTAGTGAGGCAGTAAGAAAGAGCTTAAAGACTAGTTCTGAGTCCCTAAGCCCCTCAGGTTTAGATCACCAGAAAGGGTATTGTCAATGATAATGAGGACTACATGAGCTTTTGTTCCAGAGGGTCCCAAATGCCTCAAGAGCTACACTGTGGCTTCTAGACATGCTTTTGCAAAAAAGGTGATGCTCAAAGGGAAATTGAGGAGCTCCTGGGTGCTGGAGAGGGCCTCTGCAACTCCAGCTCTTCTAGAGAGAGTTGAAATAGGCAGCTATAGCAGCACAGGACCTCCTGCCATGTATTCCTCCCTCTCCCCCAGCTCTCTGTAACTGGCTGTGTCTGCCACAAGCAAGTGAAAAATGTAGTTAATTTTGCTCTGGGGAGGAAGGGGTCTGGGAAGCCCATATGGCAGGGCCAGTCAGGGTGGGGAGATCTTCCACAGCATCCAGAAGCACGGGGATTTTACAGCAGGAAAAAGGATAAGTATAGGGAATTCAAGCCATATCCTCATGTTCACGTAATAGATGAGTTTTGAAACGTGATTTCATGCTAATTCTTCTTTATTTTTTATTTTGATCATATAAACTGTTTTCAGGATACAGTCTTCAAAAGCTAAGTCTCTATTTTATTTTGAAAACCTCAAATACAAACAGAATAAGAAACG